CTTTATTTTTATTCAGACACGAGTAGAAACACTAAAAAAAAAAAAAGGAAAAGTTACATATCTCTATGACTTAAAGAACTTCAGCTTAACCTGAAATATAATTTAATGTGTGACCTTGTTGGATATGATATTATCCAAGATAAACAGAATCTGTCTTTGATCCCAAAGTAGGGGATACCAGCTTCAATTGTTTAAAAATCTTTACAGGGTTAAGATAATTCAGTATCAAAAAGATTCGTTTGGGTGTTCCATCAAAGAAAATTGTTTCTACAGTTGGTTAGTTTATGTCTGTTGATAGAACCTTGACCAGAGGAAACTCTTTTTATATAGTTTCAAGAAATGCGTTTTTAAATTTTTATTATGCACTTGATTAACTTTACAAGACTAAAGGAACTCCCAGCCACAAACTAGCCCTCTAAATTATTTCCCTAGATTTTTCAATGAATACGCACACATTTTACAAAGCTATGATCAGTGTGTACATTCCATTTTGTCATATTCTCCACTTAACACTTATTTCCTTATCAATCATCCTACTCTCACCAATCTAAATGTCTTTATAACCATATAACACGCTTAACATCTTTTCTCCCCATTATTAGCAAGTTGAGTCATATTCAATTTTTCACTCTTATAAATAGTGCTGCTATGAATGTCTTTGTAAAAAAAAAAAAAACCCTTGGGAATATCTCCAAAGAGGGATTACAAGGTCAAAGAGCATGAAATATTTTATAACTCTTATTTTATATTGCCAGATAGCTTTTTAGAAAGATCCAATCTCTGGGTTGGAGGACCGTAGAGGTCATTGAATTTACCTTTCCCCTCCCCTTCTGAATGCTTGAATCCCCTCTACAATTTATGATGCCACCAGCAATGTGTAAGAGTTTTTATTTACCAATAGCTCTGCCAGTATTGGGTTTTGCCATTCTTATTTATTTTTGCTAGTTTAATAGATGTGTATAGTTGTTATTGTAAAGTCGTTTTATTTCATTAATTACTAGCAAGCCGGAGTACCTTTCCATGTGATGATTTACTGGATGTATCTCCCTGTGTGTGAACTGTCCATCTGTTTCTTATGATCACTTGTTAAACGGAATTGAGCTCGTATATTTGTACCCGAACTGTATTTTTATGTTGGATTGTATAGTTTGCTCTCCTGTCCCTATCCTTACAACTGAATGGTGCCAATAATTTGATACTAATGACTATAAAAAAGTAACGCCTCCTTTACTAGCATTGTTGTAAATGAGGGTTATAAGAGAATATTCATGTAACTGAGGAGTAACCCTTTAAGTGCTGACTCTTTAAAATTTTCATATTTTTTGGAGGGAACTCTTTCTAAAATGTACTATATTACATGCTTCCCTGCCTTAGTAAACACAGTATACTGGAGAGTATTTAACTTTTTCTTGGTGAGTCATGGTCATCATAATCGTCAACCCTTTAGTACCCTGGTATGGTACAGTGATGTTGCCAGGAGCTATCAAAATGCATAGGGCTTGGCTTAGCCTTTTGCAGGCTATTACAATCTTCTCATTGCTGGATTTTTTTTTTTTTTTTTTTTTTTTTACTGCTCTGTGCTCTATCAGTGGAGCTATTTGAGGCAAATGTAGCCTTTTACACTGGTGACCCCCAGCTGTACTTTTAAAATGGCTTTAGCTGGTGACCCCCAGCTGCACTTCTAAAATGGCTTTAGCTGTTCTTTGTCTTGTGGACATGACACAAAGTGTGTTCTTGTACATCATGGGGTTGTCACCTCTTGCCAATCCAGAGCCTCTTTCTCTTCTGGACTGCTTTTTGAGGCATCTGCTCTTTATCTCCTGCTCTCTGATGGCAGCCTTCAGGACACAGCTGAAGATTTCCTGGGACACCAAGTGTTTCATGTGTGTTAGGTCTGCTTTGCTTCCAAGGAGGAATGCATGGGCTTTTTGGCTGCTGTTTCCGGGAGGCTGAGTCTCCTGCTTCTTCCCCACGTCCCCTTGGGTTGCAGGTGTTTCTGAAGATTGATGTCACTGGAAATCTGACCACAACAGACCAGCTGTTACTGTATATGAAAACCCAGTATGTTTGGCAGCACACCTCTACCCAGTAAAATCCAGAGGATTCCATCGTTTCAGCAGTTGTCCTGGTTATTTGCCTACTTAAATGTATGATGGGTGCTTGGCATTTTGACCTGAGAAGATGAAATTGTATCAAGTGGATTCATAGAGGCTGAAAGGAATTATGTAATTGCTTCACCTTTTTATGTACTAAAACCAAAACAATAGCACCGTAAGGTCTCCCAACACACCTGCTGGGCTCAGGGGGAAACCCTTAGGTTCGGTGTGCTAACGTAATCATTCCACAATCAGGGCTGGCACAGACTCCCGGTGGGCACGGTGGGTTACTGCAAGGCCTGGGAATCCTCAGTCCACAGGGTTTACAGACTGTGGGCTCACAGATCATTAGGTGTGAAGAGTTTGGAAAGAAAACTCCGGAACGTTCAGGAAATCCCACTGGGGTGCATCCAGGATTTTGTATTTCCAAAATAGCACAGAAATATTCTAATATCACTGTTATCTTTCTTTCACCATCTCAAAGATCACAGCTTTTTAAAATATTCAAATAAAAATCACCATTTTGACCATTTTAAAGTGTGTAACTCTTTTCCAGTGTATTCGCAACACTGTGCAGACATCTCCACTGACTAATTCCACTGCTGTCCTTAACCTTGGCAACTACTAATCTATTTTCTGTCTATGTGTACATTTCATATAAATGGAATCATACCATGTGTGGTCTTCTGTGATTCACTTCTTTCACTTAATGTTTTCAAGATCCATTTGTGTTGCAGCATATACCAGAACTTCATTCCTTTTTTCAAGGGCTGAAACCTCGTCTTGTGTATCCACTCATCAGTTGACAGAGGTTTGAGTTGCTCCTACTTTTTAGGTATTACGAAGAATACTGCTTTGAACATTCAAGTGCAAATTTTTGTATGAACGTATGTTTTCAATTCTCTTGGAATCGTCAGATCATGGGTCGACTGTATGTAACTTTCTGAGGAACTGCCAAGATCACAGCTTTTATTTTTCATGAAATCCAAAGTACAAAATTACATATACGGCTTAGTCAGAGCCATGGGCACATACGTTACTGGACAGAAACTGAAATGCAGCACTGATATGGAGAAGTTTGAACTCCAGAAAAAAATCTTTGTTTTTAAAAGACAAACGATTTTGACGAGAATAGAAAATAAAAATGTTGTCTTTCTCTTAAAAATGAAAATGACATCAAACTTTGATTCATCTCTAACTTCTTTGCATGGCTGACTCTTCAGCGAGGAACCTCAGAATGTTCAGGCAAAGTTCTGCCTCAGAAAGTGTGCACAAAAGGGAGAATCACAATAGATGTTTGCCATTCACCAGGTTCACATTAGTGAGGTGCACAGGATCCTCACAGACCTGACATGTAACCAAGGAAAATGTGTGCTGAGGGTCCTTTATAATTTCTGTGTGTGTGTTTTGCTAAGGTTTGAACCCCAGCTCTGACATATGTTAGATCAGCACACTGCCACTGAGCTATACTCCTACCTCTACTGTGGGTGTTTTCAGGACTTAAATTCAGTAAGAAAACACAAAGAAGAAGAAAACCCTAAAAGACAGTTTAAATGGGGGCAGTGAGGATCTCATGAAATTGTAGGAATCACTTCTATAGGGAATTGGAAGCATGAATAAGTTTTAAGGCCCAGGTGACTCATCCAGGCTTTGTGCAGCCTATAAATGCTATGAGCGCTCTCCCTAGAAAAGTCCACGCATCACATTATTCTAGTGCCTTCATGGGGGCCTCACACCATCCTTGAGCCTTCTGTGGTCTCCTTTGAGTCCATGGAGTCCAGGTCCTTGAACATGAGGAGATAATCAAAATCCACAAATACCATGTTAGGATATGATTACAAACCCTGCTACAATACATGCAAGTGCGTCTACACACACACACACAGACACCCACACACAGATAAGCCATACACTTTTATCAGACCAATTTACCAGGAGATAAGTGACCTAGTTTGTATTTACTTTGTACTTACCTTCACCACTCTTGTAATAATTGAAATGAAATGAATAAAAAAGAAAATAATAAGTAATAGCTTCAATTCTAAACTAGAGATTCAGCATGGAAATTGATAGAAATCTGATACTTCTTTTTTTTTTTTAAAGTTAACTATTGATCCACTTAAAATTGATTATCTTCCTTGGTGAAGAAAAAAAAAGGAATTTCATTTTTCAAAGAAAGAATTGTGGGGTTTTTGAACAATTACACATAAATTTTTTTAATGTATTAAATTGCCTTTTAGGTTTATTTTAGATTTTTATGTAGTGCCAAGCTATGCTCTTTGGGAAGGAGTCTTATTTTTGTTTGTTCTCTTTTTCAGTACTGGGGATGGAATCCCAGGTTTTTACACTGAGTTATATCACCAGCACTTTTTAATTTTTTATTTTGAGGCAGATCTTGCTAAATTACCCGGCTAGGCTTAAACTTGCCATCTGCCTGCCTCAGCTTCTGAGAGCGCTGGGATTACAGGCATGTACCACTATGCCTGGCTGGGTTTTTTTTTTTTTTTTTTTTTAAGAATTGTAATTTTCCTTGCCTCTTCCAAACACAATATATCTGCTTTATTTCATGCAACAACTAGTATGTTGGAGGATCTAGTGAAGCTCAAGCTTTCATGAATTCCACTTTGCTTCAGCTGTCAAGATTAACTTATTTGAACTCCATTTGGACAAGGGACAGTTAGCTGCTATCTGATGGCAAACACCTGACCTTTGGGTCTCCTGGGACATCTTCCTGCTCCAACAGCAGTCCTCCTGTCTCCCGGAAAACTGGGCTAGAAAAAGTTGAGGTCACTAGTTTCCCCTGGGGGTGTTAATGTTTTATAATTCTGTGCACATTCATTCATGCCTTGAATGCTTTTGGCCTTTATTATCTCAGTTTTCAATGTATCATGGAGATTATTGATCATGGACAACTACCACCCTGAAGTAGTCTGATTTCTACACTTACATTTGGAATCTCTATGCTTTTGGGGGGGGGCCCTCGATAATTATTTTCTTTGCTTGTGAAATAAAACAAAAACAAAATCAGGTTCAAAATATTGGCTGACCAGGCGTGGTAGCACATGCCTGTAATCCTTGCATTCAGGAGGCTGAGGCAGGAGGATACGGAGTGAGTCCAGGCCAGCCTGCAAGACCTTGTCTGAAAGCACAAAACAAAAATAAAATGCTGGTTGTACAATATCAACATGAAATTTCCCTAACAGAAAGCAGCTTAGCAGTTTGAATGTATTAGCATCCTGACAACCATCATCATAAGAGAACTCCAGGGAACTTGTATACACCAAGTGCTTGGTGTGAATACATGGATGGCTGAATAAATAAAGTAAATTGTAAGTGGCATCAGACATGGTATGGGCACATTAGGGCCCAGTCGTGCTTGCTGAGGGGAAACAATAAACCAGTTTCCTAGTATCAAGAGATATAGGCACCAGTGACTTTGGTTGAGTATACGCTCCAGGAACTGGGTTCTGGTTTCTTCTCTGCCTCTGCCCACCTCCATTTGCCCACTGTAGTGGGATTCTGGGATTTCTGTTTCCCTTAGTGAAGATTGCAGGAAATAAGGGGTCTGGTAAGTTCCTTTATGTAAACCAGATCATAGGAACAAAGAGGAGGAGGTGACAATTCTGATTAGGCGAATTTAGGGTCACTCCCCAGAGGAGAGCCTTTGAAATGGAAACGTGCTTTGAGCCCCAGATATTTTGGGCAAAAACCTAATCCTGCTCGTTGAGGGTCTGGAGTGGGGCTTGAGCTAAGTGATGCTAACAAAGTCCTAGGCGATATTGCTAGGGGCCCACCCCGGAGCAGCAAGGGACCGGGAGGCCGAACTGCACAGGTGGGAGACTGCAGGAGAACTACGAGGCGAGGACCAATCCCGACGCTGGAAGGGAAGCAGCCGGGAAGGCGGGGGCGGCGGGAGCTGGAGCCGCCGGGAGCGAGCGCGGGGGAGCTGCGGGGCCGGGGCGCGGATGCGCAGAGCGAGCCGGGGCGGGCGGCTCCGCGGCTGCGCGGGCGCGAGCTGGCAAAGGCGACGGCGGCTGGGTCCCGGCCGCGCCCGCGGCGCCCCGCTGCGGCCCGAGGGGCCCGGCTGCGGGATCCGTGCGCAGCGATGGCGCGGCCGCGCCGGCCGTGCCCGGGCCCCCGGGCGCCGCTGTTCCCGCTGCTGCTGCTGCTGCTGGCGGGGCTCCACGCCGGCACCGCCAGCCCCGCGGACGACGGCTCGGGCCCGGGGGGCCGGGGGCCCCGGGGCCGGGCGCGGGGGGACGCGGGCGCCGACGAGGCGGTGCCACGCCACGACTCCTCCTACGGCACCTTCGCGGGAGAGTTCTACGACCTGCGCTACCTGTCCGAGGAGGGTGAGGCTGCGGGAGGCCGGGCGGCTGCGGGAGGGGAGACCGCGGGGTGGGGACCGAGGCGGGACGCGCGGGCTTGGAGAGGCTCGGTTGGTGAGGGTGCCGGTGGAGGCAGCTCGCACCCCCGCCGGCGTGGAGGAAGGGCTAGAAGAGCTGTAGGCGCCTGCAGCCCGCTCTCCACGTGGGGAGGCCGAGGCAGGAGGTGGAGGTGGTCCCCCCCAAGTCCTGCGAGGCGAAGCCGTGCCCAAGGTGTGCAGAACCCAGCCCCCACCCCATCCCCAGTTCCCAGCGTGTGGCTTGCAGCCTTTCTGCCACCATCTGGCCCGGGGTGTGAGAGACTAGGGCAGCGCGTAGAAAAAGAAACCCGTTTACAGAGAGGTGACCTACATTTGCAACGACTAGCGCCCCATCTTAGCGGTCTGTTGGTGCTCACTGCCCAGGCACCAGAGCTGGGGCACATCTCCCTTCCCACTCTCAGCCCACTTCTTCTGTGTCACCACACACACAGGATGGGCCCCTGGTGTGAGCCACCATTGCCGGGCCCGTGTGGGTCCAGCTGCCTGGGGATTGTCAGCCACCAACCTCCCTATCCGTGTGGCTGCTTCAGTGAACACAAAAGTCAAATGGATTCAGTCCAGAAGGGATGGACTCTCACGCCTTACTTCTGTAACTTTAAAACGTAATGATTTCCCTTTTCTTCTGCTAAGTGGATATACAGGAATCAGCCTGGAGTTTGAAATGTTGATACCTGACCCTGGGTTCTACTCTGCTTTTTCGTAGCAGTGTAATTTCATGGTCCCAAATAACTGTTTGAGCTCCATTCGATTCACATTCCAAGTCGTGGGAAATAGAAAAAGGAAAGACTACTTCATAAGATTACTCAGAAGTTTCATGTAACAGTTCTACTTACTTCAATATGTGGTCACACATAGGTATAAAGGAAGCTGGAAACAGAACTCTTAGCTGAGACATGCACAGCCAATTAAAAGTTGGAATTATTAGAATAAAAGCTTTGGGAAAATGTATTGGTTAGGAGCAGGCTGAACTCGTGAAACAGAGACTCCAACATACAGATCTTATATGTTATGTAAGATCTTTTTCTCTCAGCTAAGAGTCTGGCTGGTCCAGGCTAATGAGGCAGCTTTGTTGCACGTGGTCATTCAGGGATCCTAGTGCCTCCCTTCTTGTTCTTCCACCATCCCCCTCAGGCTTCGTCCTCATCTGGGCAGCAGAAGTCCAGGTTGCTCGTTTGACCTTGTTCAAGAGTGTGGAAAGGACAGAGAGAAGTTTAGGGTAAGCAGTTACCTTTCAGGCTGGCTGTACAGTCATGCTGTTCACATCATCTGGCAGAAACCAAAGCGCCTGGCCCGGGTTCGGGGGAGGCTGCGAAGTGTAGTGTTCTTGCTGGGCAGCCATGTGCTTAGGAAGAAGGGATAAGTGAGGTGTGGAGGTTGGAGGACAACCAAAAGCACAGTGTGTCACATTGGAAGAGGAAAAATATTCCAAAATCTTTTATCTGTATTTTATCTTATTTTACTTTATTGTCTGTTTTGAGACAGGGTCTCACTATGTGGTTCAGGCTGGCCTTGAACTCACCATGTAGCCCAGGCTGGCCTTGAACCCACAGCAATCCTCCTGCCTCAGCCTTCTGGGTGCTGGAATTACAGGCATGTGCTACCACGCCTGATCCAGAACTTGTTTTTGAAAGTATCTAGTTCATCTTTATTATGCTCATGGGCTGGGTTAGTTAAATGTGACATGTGAGAGTTTATATTCTATTTTTTTTTTTTTTATCGGTACTGAGGATTGAACTCACGACCGCCTGCTTGCAAGGCAGGTGCTTATGCTGCTGAGCTAAATCCCCAACCCTGAGAGTTTGTATTCTGATTGGCATGTATATCTAACAGATGAAGAAAAAAGCTCAGATTCTGTTTGTTAGTTTGCATGTACAGAGAGAATGAACTAATGATTGTATAGTGCAGACAGTTTTGTTAACTTAGCCACCAGGGATAGCTTTGTAGAATCAGGCTGGGAAGGCAAATAGACTGGTGGGATGGGAGAGGGAAGACACTTAGGTGAGGTGACCACAAGCTATGATTTGTGTGCTCACCCTGCCTGTCCATTCTGCATGTGCAGTGGGCTTAGCCCCACCTCTAACCAGTCCTGTTGGTAGTTTCTCTGTCTGTCTGTCTGTCTGTCTGTCTGTCTGTCATACCGGAGACTGAACCCAGGGTCTTCATCTCCAGCGCTTTTTCATTTTGAGATAAGGTCTTGCTAAGCCATTGAATTACCCAAGGTGGGTTTGAACTTTCAGTCTTCCTGCCTCAGCTTCCCAGAGGGCTGGGATTTTAGGCATACGCCACCATGCCCAGTTTTAAAGACCTGCGATAGTTTCCCCCTGCTCCCCAGAAGAAGCTTTAGCTTTAGACCAGAGTTTCTTTCTGGTCTAACTCCCCTGCAGTACCATTTCTCACCCTCCTTCCCTACCCTGGGCTTGCATCTCTGTTCTTCCTTTGCCCTCTCCTGTTTCACTTTCTTTCAGCTCCTACTACCAGCTGATGAGTCCTGGCAGGGATGGCTGTGGGATGCCTCTTAGGGCAGAACCTCTGCTAGATTATGTGGGTATGACTTTCCCAAGATCCTTAAAAATCCTCAGTGAAGCTAAGTGTGCACATCTGCAATCCCAGGGATCGGAGGCTGAGGCACGGCCATCCTTGGCTACAGAAGGAGTTCAGAATTATGTGTCAGTTTCCTACTATCTTGGGTTTGAAATTCTGTATCTTTGTGTTTTTTTTTTCTCTTTAAAATAAAAAGCAAACAAAAAACCAGCAACAATAATAAAACCCAGAAATCCTCAGTGAAGCATCCTGGGATGGGGTTAGATGGGGCTTTCCAGACAGGGAGACGCAGAACCTAGAGAGAGTGTCCCGGGATAAAGGGAAAGAGTCAGGAAGTGACACTTCATGGGGAGGGCTGACGATGGACTCAGGAGAGGAGGCCTGGAGCAGATTCAGCGCTGAAGGGAGCGGTGGATGAGAACCATCAGTCCAGTTCTCCTCGAGTGACCGAAATACCGGCTTCCTCTATACGGGGTTTCTTCTTTTCAGGTTCTCAGTAGCTGGGAAACTAAGTTTTGTGAAATTTTGGTTTTATTTGATTTTGCTTTTGTGGTGCTGGGGATTGAACACAGGGCCTGCTAGACAAGTGCCCTACCCAGCCCCAGCCTGGGTATTTAATGAAGAGCTGGATGATCATATGAAACCAGAAAAGGAGAGTTAGATAATCAGAATAGGGGGAGAGACAGGGATTCCCATGAGACTTAAGGAGAGCTTACTGACCTTTACTTGTCCTGTCCCGAGATTCTTTTTCAGTATCCAGATTGTTCAAGACGACGCCCAAATGCAGTGACTATCCATTGGCTGATTCCATGTCTCTGATCACCCCTCTACCCCCAACACACACACAATGTGTTCACTTTTCTCTGTTTCTTTCTTTCGTGCTGGAGCTGTCCACTGTTCATGTATACTACTCATACTGATAGTCTGAGCTCAAATGCACCCTCTTCCACAGAGCCATCCCCGATTTTCTCCTTCCCCTGCCCTGTGCCACTAGACAAGGTGTTCTCCCCCAGCACACTGTTGAGTCCTGCCAGGACCTTTCTGTTCTCTGTACTCAGGAGTTTGGATAGGATCTTAGTGCTTAAATATTGTTATTTATATCCCTTTCTCTTGAGGTTCTCAGCCCAGAATGTAAAACAGATTACCATTTGGTTATTGCCAAATAATATCCTGAGGGTTCTCTGAAAACAAAAACTAAACTGACTGTTGGCTTATCTTTGTACTATATCTTCCATGAATCTAGCTCTCTGGAGCTAACTTTTCATAAGTGCCAGACAGTATTTTCAGGTACTTTGTCCACATTAATCCTCATGACATCCCTGTGAGTTAGATACTACTATTACCACCACTTTAGAGTTAAGGGAACTGACACACAGAAAATTCAAATATTGTTGCTAAAGGAACAGGGCTAGAAAGTAGCAGAGAACTGTGTGCATTTGTTGATTGATTTTATGGATTGTGGTAGTAAATGAAATTGGAGGAGTGGAAGTAGGTATTTTTATGGACAAACTTGAGGAATTTGGAATCGATGTGGTAGGGAGTTAGGACCTACAAGTTCTAAGTAGCACAGTGCTACTGCAAAAGCTGCAATCACACGAATGTGGAACTGCATATGTATGTCTTGGTTACTTTTCTCTCACTGCTGAGACAAAATACCTGATGCCCATAATTAAGGAAGGAAAGGTTTATTTAGCTTATGGTTTGTAGTGGTTTAAGTCCATACTCAGCTGGCTCCAAGGAATAGTGACACATGGCAGGGCAACAGTTCATGGTACTGGAAAACAATAAAAGCAACAAGAGCAAAAACAGAAGCATGGAGTGAAAATGTTTTCTTCCCCTTATATTGTATGTAGGCCACACCCACTTGGGTGTAGCCCTCACACCCATAATCCCAGCATTGGACCATGAATCAATCACAAACTCTAGAAGACTGCCCCCATGATTGCATGAGGCTTTGGGGCGACATCTAGACACAAACTGTAACAACATACATTATTCTTTGATGTTTGGCATTTTCATTTCATTATAAGGCTGTGATTAGTTGAAACAGTGATTAAGTCAGTCCAGAAAGACACTGATGTGATAGTTTGCAGAGATGAAGCTGATGGTGTGGTCAGATGATTTCTGGTTAAAACTTGAAGGAATCAATATCAAATTAATAACTGAAGGCTATGATTCAAGTAATTAATTAGAAGCAATAAATAGCAAACCAGAATCTATTAACCACTCAGTAGAGTATACAAAGCAGGCTCAGGGGATTGCAGGGCAGGAATAGTGTCTGTGAATTAAGTGAGAATGGAAACCACAAAACTATGTTGAGAACCACAATAGTCAACCAAGAAAATTACTACCTTCTCATGTTACAGAAATATCTGATGGGAGGAA